TCACGAGGAGACGGGGAGTTCTAGTCCCGCCTTAGGCATGAAAGCCATCTGGGTGACTTTGGGCCAATCACGAGGAGACGGGGAGTTCTAGTCCCGCCTTAGGCATGAAAGCCAACTGGGTGACTTTGGGCCAATCACGAGGAGACGGGGAGTTCTAGTCCCGCCTTAGGCATAAAAGCCATCTGGGTGACTGTGGGCCAATCATCAATTGCTAAATGAGACAGTTGTTAAGTGAGTTTTGCCCCAGTTTATGACCTTTCTTGCCATAATCATTAAACGAATCAATGCAGTTCAGTTAGTCCCATGATTGTTAAGTGAATCCTGGCTTCCCCGTTGATTTGGCTTGTCAGAAGGTCGCTGTGATGACCCAAAGGGGCGTGGCACGAAGGCAACACAGGCAGATGATCAGTAGGAGTCCCTTTATTAGCTCCGACTTTGGCCCCGATATCCTGGTTACCTTCTGGCTGGAGAAAAACTCTCCCAGGAGCAGCCTTTGGCTGCAGAGAATCAAGTCCACAACGTGGTCAACAAAAAACTGTAACTAGAAGTCCAATCAAGGCTAAATGAGGTAATTAGTCCGGCAGGGCAGGAGAAGGAATTCCAGATGTGAAGGTACGGCAGTAATTTAACCCAGTTAGGAGGATGCCAGGAACACAGATACGCAAAGTCAACACAGGATAAAGTCATGTTTGCTTCCAGCAGACGCCGCTCTCAGCTTGCATCTCTTTTAAACTCTCGTTCCCAGGTGTGACTACTGAAGGGAATCAGGACCCTTTCCTCCCCCATAAGCCGCGCAACCCACGTTGCTCCCTTCTCCGTTCCTCCCTGCATGCCCTAGGATGAAGAGGGGATGGGCCTGGGTCTTCCTCTGAAGCCCCTCTCCCTTGTTCTACCTCTCCCCTGCTCTGCCCAGCCGCTCCCTATCAGCTGTTCGTCTTCCTCCTCAGATTCAGACTCCGACAGGGCATGACAGTGCCAAAAGAGGATCACTTATTTGTTCCAAGAATTTGCATTCTCTCGTCGGCCCGCCTGCCTAGATTTCTGTCCCTCCTGAGATTTTGTCTTGCCGACTCACGGTCACCTTGTTTTTGTTGTCGTCGTGGTTGTTTCTTTTTGTAGGGTCCTTAATTACTGTCGGATCTTCACCGAGCTCTGCGAGACCTTCCTGGACAAAATCGTTTGCACCCCGGGCCAAGGTCTGGGGGACCTGCGGACTATAGAGCTGCTCTTGATCTGTGCGGGACACCCCCAATACGAGGTAGGAATCCCCAACCTCAACCTTCACTTCCTTGGTGGAACTCACGACCGTCTCAAACTTTGTGGGGGGCTAAAAGACTCTTGAGGGGGGGGGGGGGGGCAGAGGCTGCTGCCTTGTGCCGGAAGAGGGGAAAAAGTTAAAAGGACCCCCTCCATCACCGGGCCCTGTCCAACAAAATGAAATTTAATGTAGAGAAAAGTGAAGTCTTACACTTTGGCAAGAAAAACCAAAAGAAATTAGAATAAGCAAGATGAATGCTAGGTGAGAATTAAATATAAAGGTGGTTGAGTATGCCAATTTAATTAAAAGATTGCAAATAATAGTAGGTAATAATAGAATTCTTTATTGGCCAAGTGTGATTAGACACACAAGGAATTTGTCTTGGTGCAAATGCTCTCAGTGTACATAAAAGCTACAAGTGATTAATAGAGTAGAATAGAACAGAATAGAAGAACAAAATAAGGAATAGAATAAAATAGAGAATAGAATAGAATTAGAATAGAATAGAATAGAATAGAGTAGAATAGAATAGAATAGAATAGAATAGAATATAGGAACAAAATAGGAATAGAATAGAATAGAATAGAATAGAGCAAAATAAGGAATAGAATAAAATAGAGAATAGAATAGAAATAAGAATAGAATAGAATAGGAATAAGAGTAGAATAGAATATGGAATGGAGAACAGAACAGAACCGAACAGAATAGAATAGAATAGAATTCTTTTATTGGCCAAGTGTGATTGGACACTCAAGGAATTTGTCTTCAGTGCAAATGCTCTCAGTGTACATAAAAGGAAAGAGACATTCATCAAGAATCATCAGGTACAACACTAAATAATAGTCATAGGGTACAGGAATAGAATAGAATAGAATAGAATAGAATAGAATTCTTTATTGGCCAAGTGTGATTAGACACACAAGGAATTTGTCTTTGTGCAAATGCTCTCAGTGTACATAAAAGGAAAGATACATTCGTCAGGAGTCAAGAATCATAACATACAACACTTAATAATAGTCATAGGGTACAATAAGAATAGAATAGAATAGAAAAAATGGAATAGGAATAGGATAGAATAGGAATAGAATAGAATAGAAAATAGGAACAGAATAGACTAGAATAGGATAGAATAGAATAGGATAGAATAGAAAATCAGAATAGAATAGAATTCTTTTATTGGCCAAGTGTGATTGGACACACAAGGAATTTGTCTTGATGCAAATGCTCTCAGTGTACATAAAAGGAAAGAGACATTCGTGAAGAATCATCAGGTACAACACTTAATTATAGTCATAGGGTACAATAAGAATAGAATAGAATAGAAAAAATGGAATAGGAATAGGATAGAATAGGAATAGAATAGAAAATAGGAATAGAATAGAATAGAATTATTTATCAACCAAATGTGATTGGACACACAAGGAATTTGTCTTTGGTGCAAATGCTCTCAGTGCACATAAAAGAAAAGAGACATTCGTCAAGAGTCAAGAATCATAAGGTGCAACACTTAATGATAGTCATAGGGTACAATAAGCAATCAAATCATACTAGGAAACAGTCAATATAAATCGTGAGGATACAAGTGACAAAGTTACAGTCCTACAGTCACAAGTGGGAGGGGATGGGTGATAAGGAGTGATGAGAAGATTAATAGTGATAGTAGTGCAGACTTTGTAAATAGTTGGACAGTGTTGAGGGAATTAGTTGTTTAGCAGAGTGATGGCGTTCGGGGGAAAAACTAAATAAGCTAATATAAAGAGAAAACTAGTTAAAAACTGTTACATTATTACTATTGTTACTAGTATATGTATTATCGCTCCTGTTTGTTCTTTCTTTGTTACTTACGTAAATGATATGCCCTGATAATACACTCTATTCAAAATGTTTATGAATTAAAAAACATATTAAAAAAAAGAAAGAAAAACCAAAAGTGCACATATAGACTGGGTGAAACCAGGCTCAATAGCAGTCAGTGGGAGAGAGTGGGTGGGGGGGGGTGTTGGACTAGATGACCTACAAAGTCCCTTCCAACTGCTTATTCTACTCTACTCTACTCTACTCTACTCTACTCTACTCTACTCTACTCTACTCTACTCTACTCTACTCTACTCTACTCTATTCTTTCTGTTCTTTCCTATATTCTATTCTACTCTACTCTATTCTTTCTGTTCTTTTCTATATTCTATTCTATTCCTTCTGTTCTATTCTATTCTATTCTATTCTATTCTACTCTACTCTACTCTACTCTACTCTACTCTACTCTACTCTACATTCCATATTCTATTCTACTGTACATTCCCTATTCTATTCTACTCTACTGTACTCTACATTCCATATTCTATTCTATTCTATTCTATTCTATTCTATTCTATTCTATTCTCAACCCATGGAACAGAAGTTGCCTTCAGAAGTTGTGGGAGCTTCATCACTGGACGTTTTCAAGACGAGACTGTACAGAAATGGTGTAGGTCTCCTGCTTGGGTGGGTGGGGGTTGGACTAGATGACCTACAAGCTCCCTTCCAACTCTTGTTAACCTGTAATCTCTAATCCTCCCCCCCCTCACCTCGCGGCTCCCAGGTGGTGGAGATATCCTTCAACTTCTGGTACCGGCTGGGGGAACACCTCTACAAGACAGACGACGCCATCATCCACAGCATCTTCAAGGCCTACATTCAGCGGCTTCTTCACGCCCTGGCCCGGCACTGCCAGCTGGACCCCGACCATGTAAGCCCACCCCCCACACACCAGTTCGTCCCTCTGGCCGGCGGTCCCCAATCTGTGTCCAGGGGGGTGGGGGAGAAGACCAGATGGTTCAGGGCAGAGTGGATTTGATTTAAATCGAGTCGATTTAAATCACGATTTAAACCACTAGCGAGTGAGCTGGATTTAAATCAAGTCGATTTAAATCATAATTTTTTTTAAAGAGCCACCGACCATCCCTACTGTGAAATTGTGGGAATGCATCAAGGCAGGGCACGTTATCTCAGCTTTCAGAGCTTGGATTCGTTGAATGAGTCTACAAAAAATGTAAATATTGCAGAATATACAGCCTCCTGCTACAGAACTAAGCTCCATTTCATGCTGAACTAGCTCGCTACCCGTGCTTCGCTATGAAACTATGTGGTCAGGCTTAGTTTTTGGGGAGGAAAATAAAGGGGGGGGGAATTCTACCTCTACCTACCAGCATCCATCAGTATTCATCTGGCTAGCGTCCTGTCAGTGTGTGAGAGAGTTGAGGGCTGTTAGGAAACTGAAAGAGTATTTGCTTGTGTGAACAAGGAGACAGCAAGGAGCCTGGGCGTGGCTTAGCTCAACTGTTCTCTACTGAAGCTGCTTGGTGCTGTGAAACTGAAAGTGAAACTCCTCTGCTTCTGTTTTGCATTTGGAAGAGATTTCTTTTTTTCAGGTGGGGAGGGGGAGTAGAACTCCTTAGCATCAGAGCGTGTTAATAATAATAATAATATAGGAAATACTCTAAATGCTCTGATGGTCATTTGGAAAATTCCTTTCTTCGTGAGCCCCTAGAAGCCAAGAGGAACACACATGCCTAATTTCAAGTTTGTAGGCTTTACGGTCCTGGAGAGTTTGTGATGATGCATGAGCAACATTTCGCTTTTATATATATATATAGATAAACTAAATTACCAATGTATCTTAAATCGGAAACTATCTTCAGATAGATTTTTTTTTTTTACTCCAAAATGATTTTATTAAAATAAATTTGATAAAAATATTTTGAAAATCAGATTAAAAATAATCCGATTGAATTTTTTAAAAAAATCGATTTTTTTAAATTTAAAAAATAAACAATAAATTTTTTAAAAGAAAAAGGTCATGTTTTTCCTGATTATGCTGAATGTGTTTCTCCCTTGGCAACTGCAGTGGAGAAATCCTGGTGGTAAAAACGGGGCCAAAAACCTCACTTGAACAACTGTCTCACTTAGCGATGGAAATTTCGACTCGGTCGTGAAGTCCAGGGCTACCACCTACCTATGTGGCCGCTATACGACCCGTGGACTTTGACTCCCAGAATCCCTCCGCCGGCCCTGCCCCGTGCTGGCTCTCTGACTGACCTCCTTTCTTCCTCTTCTCCCGCTCCCCGCATCCTAGGAAGGGATCCCCGAGGAAACAGATGATTTTGGGGAGTTCCGGATGCGAGTCTCGGATCTCGTCAAGGATTTGATCTTCCTGGTTGGCTCCGTGGAATGCTTTGCCCAGGTGAGGGCCGGAAGGGGAAGGGATCCAGCTAGAAAGCACGGTTTTATTTATCTTTATTTTTTATTCCACCTTTGTTACTATATAATATGGCTCAAGGCAGCACGCGTACCTGGTTCTCCTTCCTACCCCCTGTTTTTTGCAAAACAGCAACCCTGTGAGGTGGGCTGGACTGAGATAGGGATTGGCCGAAAGTCACCCAGCTGGCTTTCATGCCTAAGGCAGAACTAGAACTCACCGTCTCCTGATGACTGACTAAAAGTCATCCCACTGGCTTACATTCCTTAGGCAGAACTACAACTCCCT